AAGGCTGCTGAACCCCTGGGGTATGGGAAGCACAGAGGAGACTGAAGCAGTCCTTAGTCTCTGGTTTGCTGCAGTGAGCTCTGCACTGAAGCCAGCTGCAGGGAACTCTTACATGAGCAAGCACACAGGACCTTTCCTAAGGCAACCTCTGATTGGAAATACAGAGGTCCCTGGCAGAGGCAAAGGCCAAAGGTACCTGAGATGTTCCTTTTTTAAAAAAAGAAAATTAATGCTGTGTTATCAAAGAGTTGTCACAGAGGGAGATCTCTCAGTGGGAGATTCATCAACAAAATAATCAACAGGTATTGATTGAAACTTCTTGGGCTCAGACCTATACAGGTAGAGGAGGGATCCCGATGTCAGGAATCCTGGTCTCAGGGAGCTCAGTTTCCATTTGAGTGATGAAGGCACTCTCACATCAGACTATTGTAATCTGTAGGTGCAGAGAGAGTCAGGACTGAGAGGTCATGAAAGATTTTCTGCAGGAAGCTGGACTCATTTTGATTTTTGAAGGACAAATAGAGTTTGAAGCAGCAGACAGAAGGAAGAGGCTCAAGATGTCTGAAACGGTGAAGATACAGGTCTGGCTAGGGCAGAGGAGATCAGTTGGAGACCATGGTTGATGCCCCTTGATGAGTGCTGGTCATACTGTGTATGCATCTGTATATGTTTATATGTATGTGTCTGTATGTATATGTTTAACAGCTTTATTGACATTCAATAAACTTCACATACTTAAACTACACAGTATGATCAGATTTGACTAATGTATACACCCATGAGACGGTCACAACCATCAAGATAATGAACAATCTGCCACCCACAAAGGGCTCTTAGAGTCCACTTGTAATTCTCTCCCTCCCACCACTCACTGCTCCTCATCCCCAGGCAGCCCAGTGATCTGCTGTCACTATAGATTCGTTTGCATCTTTGAGTATTTTCTATAAATGGAATCTAACAGTAGATACTCTTTTGACTGACCTTTTCCATGGGCATAGTTATTTTGGTATTCATCCATGTTTTATGTGTATAAACAGTTCATTCTCTTTGTTGTGGAGTAATATTCCATTGTATGGTTATAACCAACATTTGTTTATCTATTTACAAGTTGAGGTACATTTGGGTTATTTCCAGCTTTTGCTTATACAAATAAAGCTTTTATAAAAATTGGTCTTACAGGTGACTGTGACAGTGTTGTTCTAGTATTGGATTCCTCATTTTCCTGATTTTCTTTGTACTTGTTGTGTCAGTTATTGGGAGATGAATGTTAATCTATCTGACTATAATTGGGGATCTATTTCTTCTTGAAGTTCTATCAGTTTTTGCTTCAGGTGCAAAATTATTTGCACAAAATAATTTTGAAACTCTGTTATAAATTGCATTAACATTTAGAATTGTTGAACCTTTTATCATTGTGACATCACGTCCTTTATCCTTGATAATATTCTTTGCTCTGAAATCTTTGTCTCATATTAATATAGCCATCCCAGTTTTATTTTGATTAATATGAGCATAATATATACATATATAATGTGTATATATGTATATACATGTATTTGTGTATAAATATAAGTTGAGTATTCCTAATCCACAAATTCAAAAATCTGAAAAGCTCCAATGAACAGTTCCTTTTAGTGTCATGTTAGCACTCAAAAATTTCAGATTTTGGAGCACTTTGTATTTTGAATTTTCATTTGTATGTATTTTCATTCTTCTACATTTAATATCTTTATGTCTTTATATTTAAAATATGTTTCTTATAGGTAGCAAAAGTTTGATCTTATATATTTTTAATCCAATCTGACAATCTCTGCCTTTAAAACAACTTTTATTTTGTGATAGAGTCATATGTAGTTGTAAGAGATAATAGAGACATCTTGTGTTCCCCTTGTTCAATTTCCCTCAGTATCATCTTGCAAAACCACATTACAGTATCACAACCAGGATATTGACATCACTACAATCCATCAAATTTGTTCAGATTTCCCAAGTTTTACTTGGGCTTATTCGTGTGTGTTTACAGTTCAGCCCAATTTGGTCACATGCATAGTTTCACGTATTCGCCATTGAAATTGAGGTGTAGAATAGTGCCACTAACACAAAGATCCTTTGTCTTGTCCCTCCCCCTCCACTCCACCCTCATCTTTAATGCCTGGCAACCTCTAATTTGTTCTCCTTTTCTGACATTCATCTTTCACCATTGAGCGTGATGTTAGCTGTGGGGTTTTTTGTAGATGTTCTTGATCAAGTTGAATTCTTCAATGTCTAGGTTGCTGAGAGTTGCCATGAATGATTATTGGATTTTGTCAAATGCCTTTTCTGCATCATTTGATATTATCATATGTTTTTTCTTCTTTAGCATGCTAATGTTATGGGTTACATTGCTTGAGTTTTTGAATGTTGAGTCAGCCTTGCATACCTGGACTAAATCCCACTTGGCCATGCTACATAATTATTTTTATACATCATTGGATTTGATTTGCTCATGCTTTGTTGAGGATCTTTGTTTCTAAGTTCATAGGAGACATTGGTCTGTAGTTTTCTTTCTTTTGTACTGTCTTTGTCAGTTTAGGTAATCTGTGTCCTTTAAAGGTGTATTTAGATAATTTACCTTATTGATTGCGATTATTGATATGGTTAAGTTTAAATCTATCATCTTGCCTTTTGTTTTCTCTTTGTTCTGTCTATTTTTATGTCTCCATTTCTTCTTTTCCTACCTTATTTCGGATTGTTTAGTATTTTAAAATTATTCTGTTTTATCTCCTTTTTTGACTTACAGCTATAACTCTTTGTTTAGTTATTTTAGTGGTTTCTTTAAGGTTTATATAACACTTTTAAGTTATTATAGCATACCTTCAAGTATATTATACTACTTCAAATATTGAAAAAATCCTTGTAATGGTAAAATCTAGGTCTCCCTGGACTTTCAGTTCCACCTGCTGTACCTAGAGGTATCTGCTGGGTCATGCCTAAGTTCCCTATCCTTGAGTCATGGCCTAGAGACTCTCTCAACGCAGTGCACCAGGGCAATCATAAAACTTCTCATTTGCTCCTCTGCTTTCAGAGATCACCATCCTTCATTGCCTCATGCACTGTGTCTTGAAAGCTGTTGCCTTACCTATGCTTCTTGTCTTGTCGTTTTGTTTTGTTTTAGGTAAGAGGATGAAGTTTCCTCTTATTCCTTCTTGGGCAGAAGCAGAAATCTTGCACTGTTGTTTTGATGTGGATTCTGTAGGCTTCATGTCACAGTCAAACTGCTAAACCTTTCAAGGGCATCTCTGTTGTGGTCCAGAGAGAATGAAAGCATCAAGGCTGCATGACATGTGTTAGGTCTTTCTCTTTAGAAAGATCCAGCCTGTGCACTGGAACCTCACTGCACAGCAGACATTTGTGCGTGACAGTAGAGCCCACACTCCAGAAAGAGCAGGTGATTTGCAAAAGGAAATTTGGTTATAAATGTATTTAGCCTCCGTTTCACTTATAACTGTTTGTGAATGAGACTAAATCCAGGATCATGAAATCCCACTTTTCACATTTATCAAATAAACAACTCTATATCAAAGGCAAAGAGAATTGGAGAAAAGAAAGGCCATCAGATACTTCAAGAATCGCTTAGTCTTAAATGCTGGAAGGTCCTCAAGAATGGCCCTCTGCCTTTAGGAAAGTCAGACACTCTCTTCTTCATTTTACATATACTGGCAACTCCAGGCATTAAGGGGCTTGCATAGGGTCCCATAGGTGTGTGATGGAAACAGAACCATAGTTCTCTCTCCAAGTGTATTTGTGGCTTTTTCAATGATTGTCTGCAGTATTCCTCCTCTTGCTCCCTGTACTATCTCTGGGGTAGTTTCCTGCCCCTAGCACTGCCTGTCCCCTTGCTACGCAGCATGCCTCCTAAAGGCTTTCAGTGTTCTGCCTCTCCAGGTAAGAGAAAAACATGCTTCCCTCTGAAGTTTCTCTGGGCAGCCTTTAGAGCTACACAATTAACAATTTCCCTGTTCATTTTCCATTGCCTTGTGGTCCTGGTCTCTGACAGAGGATAGATGGCTGTATCATAACAGCCCCCTCACATCATTTGTCATGTCCTGGCATGCTGACAATAGCCTCTCTGTTTCTGGAAGGCCAGAAGCTAGAATGTCAGGCAGGGAAACTAAATAACTTTTCACCCTTAGGACATAATTCCTTCTTCAGAAAGCTACAGGCCACTGAAAGCTGGTGTGAGGGCATTGATTGAGCCATGGAAGCACAGAGCCTAGAATATAACTGTGAAGACTTTGTGATGATTAGGTTGGGTCTTAGAAAAGTGATTTGAAAAAATGACGTGGAAGCTGAGTAGGCAATGGAGCCGTCCTCTTCCCCAAAGCAATGAGTTACAGTGCTCTGCTATCTTTCAATGAGGTGCTGTCTGCTAATAGGGAATTCTCTACAGCCAAGAGCAACTGGAATTAATGGGGCAAAGGATTTTGTATGGAGGATAATAATACCAAAGATATCACCAGTGAACACTGGTATAGGGATTTTCATGAGGCAGTCCTAAGTCCTCTAGGTATATTATCTTATTGAAACTTTGCAACGACTCTTTGTGGCAGGTACTATTACTCTCCCTATGTTACAGATGAGAGCGAACAACTGGGAAAACTGCAGTTCAAATCCAGACATTCTGACTCCAGAGTCTGTGCTCTTAAACTCAATGCCATGCTGTCCATAACTAAGAATATAAAATTCCTCCTCTTTATCAAATCACAGCATTGGGAGGAGTGAGCATTTAGGCAAGGAAAGGGTGGATTTCAGTACTGGAGCAAAGAGAATAAATCTCTTTGTTCACAGAATGAAATTGGTGCTTAGAAAATGGCACAGACTTGGTCCTTGGGGCTGCTGTGAGGTTTTCTACTTTTCCCAGCCTCCTTTGATTTAGGTCCACCATGTGACCTGTTCTGGCCAATGAAATGTGTACATAAGTAATATGTGCCGTTATGGTCATTACCATGTTTCTTTTTCAGCCCCATCTCTGAATCCTTGACAACCTTGAAGGATAATCTTAAGACCAGAAGACCATAATAAAGTGAAACCATAAGGGAAGAGCAGCTTGGATCCCTGAAATCCCTGAATCGCTACTTGGAAGAGAGTTGTCTAGGAGATCTATGAACCCACATAGAACTTGGGGTATGCTGTGGACTGAGTTATGTCTTCTATATTCATGTGTTGAAACCCTAATCTCCAGCTAACTGACTACTGTCTTTGGAGACAGGGTCTATGTGGAGATAGTTAAGGTGAAACGAGGCCATAAGGTTAGTGCTCTTACCTCACAGGATTAGTAAAAAGAGGCACTGGAGAGATTTTCTCTCTTTCCACCCACTCCCCCAAGTGCACACCCTGAGTAAGGGCCCTGTGAAGACACAGCAAGAAGGTGGCCATCTGCAAACCAAGAAGAGAGACCTCACCAGAAACTAGCCCTGCTGGGGCCTTGATCTAGGACTTCTAGCATCAAAAATAATGAAAAAATAAATTTCTGATGTTTAAGCCACCCATTTTTGATTGTGTTATGGTATTTTGTTATGGTAGTGTAAGTAGACTAAGACAGAATGAATGAAAAATACACTTGCGTTATCTTAATCCACTGATGTTTTCAGGGTTTATTTGTTACCACAGCAAAAACAAACCCACCTGATTAATACATGGGCTTGAATCTTCCAGCTTCGTTGTAGCCCTATCTGTTCAAAGGCCCTTTCTCTTGGGAAAAGGAGAGCCATTTAAGTCTTACAAAGAGAGATACTGTCTGAGAAGCTAGGGAGGAACCATTTCTTGCAAGTCTTGTTCAGTCTTTTTTTAGCCTTTAGTAGGTTCTGTGGGGGACATAAGAGAAGTATAAGGTGAAGTGTGGGAGAGGAGCTTAGTCTTCTAATATTTAAAATGAAGGAGTAGCATTGTTTGATCTCTAAGGGCTTTTGAACCTCTATAAATCTGTGATTTATAGGCATGTTCTGGGATGTTAAATATTTAGAATTTTTCTGATGGCTAAGAAAGATATGTGCCAAGTACCCTCACACTTCAAAGAAATATGCTAGTCCATCTACAAAGCATCTTAAAAATAAGTGACCCCAAACTATTCTGCCACATTGGATCATCACCCACCTCTAGTGCATCAAGAAAAAAGGAGGGAAAGAGGAGGTCACTATAAGGATCCCTTTGGGGAAAGTTGTGAATGTCTAGTGAGCTGTTTCCCCCATAGGCTTTGTGGGAAGAGAGGTAGAGGCCCAGGAAGCTTGGCATGTATTCTCTGGCCTTTGGTGGATACAGGGTCCGGACTCTATTGGTCAGCTTGGGTGGAGGTAGCAGAGAGGGAAGAATGAGGCTGGGGAAATTGCCTATCCTTCCAGGGTGTAACCAGTCTAGGGTGTGTGTTTCAACAGAGGCAAAGGAAGTTTCAAGAATGAGATCTGCATGGAGTCTAGCTGTCCAAGGGGACCTGCTGGAGAGGTGAGGGATGAGGGGACCCAAAGAGAGAGGTAGATTGCAAGATGACAGAGAATGAGGGAGTGCAGCAGACTATCGGAAGCATTGCTCTTACAGGGGAATGCAGGGTTGGGGTTCCTATCCAAACCCTCACAAAGGAAAGAATGAGCTTTGGACATTCCCTGTATTCTGAGAACATCGGTGTTGGATTATATCTGTGTCATTCCAGGAGGACCTTGCCTGTCCCTTTCTTCCCTGCTCTCACTCATAGGACCCCCATTCAGAGCTGCGGAACTGGGGAGGAGGGAGCAAAAGGAAACAGTGAGGATGCTGGCTTCTCCTCTTGGGCTTCCGAGACTGGTCCAGTTGTGGGCCTGATCAGTTGTACATTGGAGGAGATTTTAGAATTTCGATATTACATAGAACTGGACTTTTTAATGTCCCCCTCCAAAGAGATTATTTGCTTTTAACCTGAGTGTTCACAAAAAATGTTATGAGACGTACTGGGTACTCATTAAGGAGCAGGGAGGAATTGCTTCATAGAATGGGCTGGAAGAGGTCTCTGTGACAAATAATTTAGTGCTTTTTGTTTGTACTCTGTTGAGGTGGATTCATTCAGTTAACCAGTTATATACACACAGTGCCTCAGTTTTCAAAATTTATTCATATGCATTATCTGTTTGCTACCTACCTACCCATCACCTGATTGGACATGTGTGATCTATGCATAACCTGTTTGAGACCCAAGTAATTTTTTGTTGTTGTTGTTCACTCCCCTGCTGGACTTCAGATGTGGCCATTGCCACCTGGGACTAGCTCTGAGGACCCACTGGTGGTTACTGCTGCTGCCCTCATATTTGGAGAATCCAGCCCACCAGCAGATAGAGGAGGCAGCTGGTAAGGTTTCCTGGTGCTCTGGAAGCTCACCCTATTGACCTCCCTGGATGTCTAGAGAAAGGGGAATATGGTGCACCAAGGCATTCAGAAGTTTTCAGGACAGGGGGACTTTTTTGTGCTTACAGGACTCTTCCTAGTGCTTATCCTCAATGTCCCCCACTTTTGACCTGCTTTCTATGTGCAGCAAAGCCAATCTCCTCATGATTCCCTGAGTATGTCCTGCATTTACCCACTTCTGAAGCTTTGCTCAAGCTCATCTCTGTGCCTTAAATGCCCTTCTCCTATGTTCATTGTCCAAGTCCTTTCTCCCAAGTCACATCAAATTTCTGTCCTCCTCTCCCAAACTAGAAGCCTTTCCTGAAGCTCACATGAGGGTTGATTCTGTCCTTTTTCCTACAGTGCATTGTTGATGTTCTCTGTGTGTTCTCCATAGTCAGTGTCTGCTTGGGTCATGCTGTCTGTGATGGTGCCTGTCTCTCTTACTGGTCTATGAGCTCTCAGAATGCAGAGATACAGCCTCATTCATTTCTGTTATCCCTGCGGACATTCAGTGAATATCTGTTAAATGGAATTAAATTGTGAATTATCATTGGTGGGTGAATTTTAAAGGATGTGTGATGTAGCATATATATATTTAATATAAAGGTGGGACTTGAACCCTCATATCTGTTAAACTCTGCTGGGGTATTTCATGACCTGTGTGGATCCATAGAAAATTCAGGAGTGCAATTCTTTTAATGCATTGCTGGGCCCCATGAATCATTGTCTTTTGTGAAACTAGAGGGCCCCTATGTATATCTTGATTGGAAAAAGAGTGGGGAAGTTGGTTAACTGGTTAATATCCTCTACAGCCGCTTTTTTTTTTTTTTTTTTTTTTTTTTTTTGCCAAGTAAAGAAAAACCTAACTAATTGGGGAAGTAGAGGCCAGATGGGGAGAGTAACCCAGGTGTTCATAATTCTGGGTGGGTAAGGGTCCTTGACATCACAGAGGGGAGAGTCATATATTCAGCAAAGGCCTGGGGCTGGTGATAAATGGTTTTCAGCAGACCAATTGGGGATTTGGGGAGTTTAACTCAAGCACACAATATGACAGCCTAGGAATGAGCCAGGGCATGGTTTTGAGCATTGTGATATTTAGGATGACCTGTATATCAAAGATGATACATTCTCCGTTTGCTAGGGGTAGGCGGTAGGTTCTGGGTGGATCTGCCATACAAATACAGAAGAGGTCATAGATGTGGTGACAATAGCCTCCATGGTTACTTTTGCACCCGGTCATGCTTGGCACCCTGCTTGGGGGTGAGGCCTTGAAGGCAGAGTGGCTGGCAATCAGCCAGTGGACGTGGCTTCGGCTCTAACAGGGTTAGGCCCTGCAATTTTGCTTGCCTGTCGCTCTTGATCATTTTTCTCTTCTGCCTTTTATTTCCCCCCCAGACCTTTTGGTACCCAATGATTTTTGATTAATTTATTTACCATTGTTGGGTGATTGATGTTGTTTTGTGTTGGTACTTTGTAACTTTCCAATTCTTCTAGCTGTCAAGGTGACAGCCCCCAATGATGAATTGGACCCTGTCTCTTGCTCTTTTTATTCTCCCTGTGTGCCAAGGCTCTTGGTTTTCAGCAAATATAAATATTTCTAAATGCAGACTTAATGATTGGAGTATATAACAAAATCCAGAAAGATCTATGATACTTTCATACTTCTTTACTGAAGTTCAATACATTGTGTTTTTTCTCTATCTGTTCTACTTTAGATTTGGGAAATCCACTCCCTTTCAGGAATCCCTTAAGCTATTTTCCTGCTCCTCTGGCATCTTTCCCCTAGGCATAGTTTTCTTTTCTCACTTACTTGTCTCCTGTTGTCTCCCTGAATTAGGTGAACTCACATTCCTCTACGTAATGCATAAGCATGGGATGGTGGTGAGAAAAGGTACTTTTATTTGTTAAGTCCTTATTTACCAATGAGAGGTACTTTTCTATTAAGTTCATAAATATTTATTGAGGACCTAGTATGAGCCAGGAAAACCCCAAGAACCTTTGCACAAGGTAGTCATGTTAATCTCTATTTTATAGGCAAGGGAACTGAGGCTCTGGGAGGGTAATCAATATGTTTTAATTCATACTAGTAAGAAATAGTAGAGCAGCGATTTGAGCTTAGTCTTTCTGATGTTAGCAATTTGCATTGTTTTCCATGACACTATTCTGAAGGTGACCAGGGATGGATGAAGGAACTCCTAGAGCCTTAGAATTTGGAACAAATCATAAACTTTCTCTACAAGGGTGGTTCTCAAACTGGTAATTAGATGCATGCTTGATCAACTACATAATAATCACAAGGAATGCTCATTAAAATAGAGATTCCTGAGCCTTTCCACAATTGTTAAGTCTGGTTTGGCCCAGAACTGTTTTTTTTTTTTTTTTTGAGATGGAGTCTCGCTCTGTTGCCAGGCCAGAGTGCAGTGGTGCAATCCCGGCTCACTGCAACCTCCGTCTCCCAGGTTCAAGAGATTCTCCTGCCTCAACCGCCTGGGTAGCTGGGACCACAGGTGTGCACCACCATGCCCAGCTAATTTTTGTATTTTTAGTAGAGGTAGGGTTTCACAGTGTTGGACAGGATGGTCTCGATCTCTTGACCTCGTGATCTACCTGCCTGGGCCTCCCAAAGTGCTGGGATTACAGGCGTGAGCCACCATGCCCCGCCAGAACTTTTATTTTTTGAACATTGCCTATGTTATTCTGATTCTCAACCAGGTTAGTGAGCCAGTGCAATAAGACAACTATTACCTAGAGCAAGACTTTTCTTGACACCTTCATGAGAGATGTTCATCCAGCTTCTGGGGTATGGAGCACAGTCCATGTTGTAGCTTCCAGTAGTGGGCAGCCCTTAATAATTTTGGAAAATCCTTTCTCACATTGCCCTATTACCAGTTTCTCTGTAACTATAGTATGTGGTGCTTACAATGCAAATAATAGGCACTACTGATTGTGCACTCACTGTGTGCAGACTCGTGCTAAATACTTTAGATTTGTTTTACCACTCAAGTGCCTC